CTCCTTATTGAGACATTAGTCTTGGGTTTAGGTTAGAACCGTAGCCTGATAGGAATATTGTGCCCTGGATTCCAGACACATGGATATTGCTGGATAATAGGTGAGACTCGGGCTTGGAAACTGGCACTTCGAGATGCAAGTTCAGTCTTCTCTTTATGAATAAAAACCGTTTTCCTTTTACATTTTAAAATTAACTTTGGCCAGGGGGTGATGGCACACACCTTTAATCCCAGCACTCGGGAGGCAGAGGCAAGCGGATCTCTGTGAGTTCGAGACCAGCCTGGTCTACAAGAGCTACTTCCAGGACAGGCTCCAAAGCCACAGAGAAACCCTGTCTTGAAAAGCGTAAATAAATAAATATAAAATTAACTTTAGGCTAACAGTAAGCATGCATATTTATGGGGTACCATGGGAAGTCCTTTTCATGTGCAAAGGGTCATAACAGGATACTCCATGTGCCTATCACTGTAACTTTTATCAAGTGTGTTTATTTCCCATGTAGAGAAATGTCATGCAAAATGCATGCATTCACTGCTCAATATCGATTCACAAGGGCCACGAGGTCCTAAGTTATTTATTTAGTAGCTTAATGATACCCATGAAGCCTGGTACCTGGTGAGACTTGGAATCTCTTCAAGGTAATGCTGCTTCTTGAAAGGGAATTTTTCAAATTCAATCCAATTCCAAAAACGTTATCATTTTCCAGACTCCCCTGCAGCTAAGTGGTAACTGAGGGCTTCATGTTACCTTGCCGCTGCACCTCAGAGGTGCAAGAACCCTTATTTTCAGCCCTCTGAATGTGTCAAATGTGTTATCTCAGACTCTGTGAAGTTCACCTCCACCTCCCTGCTCCGTCCCACCTTGCTTCTTGGTGAGTTACGTGTTAGGTTTTCTGTGATAAAGGCTTTGTCTTCAGACCAGGAAAAAGTTAAAAGAAAAAAATAAGAAACCACATGAGCAAGTAGTGTTGCAAATAGTTTATTAGTATAGAGTATATTAGTATTTTTCTGCAGTTACTTCTAGAAAATTCATTCTGGCGCTGCCTCACTCAGAACCGAAGTCTGAAACTGCAGTCTATTGAGAATGCCTGGGGTCTCCGCAGAGCCTGGGACCGACTAAAAAATAATCTAGGATAGGCAAACAGAGGAGATATGACTTTGAATTAAATCATGAAATCAGTTTATTTCTGTCATTGTTCTCCTCCTACCCCTTGCTACTCTGTGTCTAAACACAAGCTCCGAGAACCAAGTTTTGTGGTCATTCACTAGATGTTGACACATTTCCATTTTCAGTTCATATTCTATAGCTTTAAGAATTAGGAAATGGAGACAGGTGGTGCCTGGCTCATGCCTCTAATCCAGCACTCAGGAGGCAGAGGCAGGAGGATCTCTATGAGCTTGAGGCCAGCCTGGTCTACAGAGTGAGTTTCAGGACAGCCAAGGGTACACGGAGAAACCCTGTCTTGAAAAAACAAGCAAGCAAACAAACAAAAAGAATTAGGATATAGGGGCTGGGGTGTACCTTACCCACCATGCAACAGGCCCTGGGTCCTATCCCTGGCATCATATAAACCAGGCATGATGACACAAGCTTGTAATCCCATTATTTAGAGGTGAAGGCAGAACACTAATGACCTCAGAGACATCCTCTGCTCCATTGAGAGTTCTCTGTCTCAAAGGGGAAAAAAAGAGTAGGAAGTAGAACCAGACGTGGTAGTACGTGCCTGCAGGCCCAGCACAGATAGCAGAAACAAGAGGATCAAGAAGAAACAAGGCCAGCCTGTGCTACTTGAAACCCTATCACAAAACAAACAAACAAAACCAGCAACAAAGCAAAATAGCAACAACAACAAAACACTTTTAAAAACTTTAAAATTTGCAAAGGAACCAGGCTGGGGATGTTGCTCGGTTGGTACTTGCTTGCCTATTGTGCCTGAGCCTTGGTCCAGGGCACAGCATGCCATTAACCAGGCTTGGTGGCACAAGCCTGTATTCCCAGAAGTTGGAAGGTAAAGACGAGAGCATCAAATTCAAAGTCATTTTCAGTGACATGGAGTCCTGGTTAGCTTTTATTGATCAACTTGTCACGACCTAGAGTTACCGTAGAGGAGGGATCCTAAACTGAGGAAGTGTCCCCAATCAAATTGACTTGTGTCCATATCTGAAAGATTGTCTTAATTGATGATTGATTTGGGAGGGCCTAGCCCACTGTAGACTTTACTACCCTGAAGCAAGCAGACCTGAACTTGCAAGAAAGCAAGCAAAGGGGCACTAGGCAGCCTTCCTCCATGGTTCCTGCCTCCAGGTTCTTGCTTTGAAGTCCTGTCCTAACTTCAGGGATCGATTGTAATTTGGGAATTGTCTGATAAAATAACCCCATGTCTCTTTTGGTCAAAGTGCATCATGGGATCAGAACAAAGCTAGAACACATAGTTTGAAGTTAGTTTAAGAGACATCAAGCCCTATGTCAAGTTTTTTTTTTAAATAGTTTATTTAAATTCATTTTATGTGCATTGGTGTGAAGGTGTCAGGTGCACTGGAACTGGAGTTACAGACAGTTGTTAGCTGTCATGTGGGTGCTGGGAACTGAACTCAGGTCCTCTGGAAAAGCAGCCAGTGCTTTTAATTGCTGAGTCATTTCTCCAGCCCAAGTTTTTGTTGTTGTTGTTGTTGTTTTTGGTTTTTTTTTTTTTTTCAAAAAGAAGGTGTTGGAGTGGGGATGGACAAATGGGATTAATAAATGGCCAGGCTTGGCGGTACATGTCTCTAATTCCCAGCTCTCAAGGGGCAAAGCAAAAGCAATATGATAGTTCAAAACTAGCCTTGGCTGTACAATCACACATGCTCGTGCGTGCATGTGCACACGCGCGCGCACACACACACGCACGCACTCACTAAAAGATGTAGACTCCTCAACTGTTTGCACAGATACAATTTGCAAGTATTTTTGGATGAATTCACTTCATTCTCAGAACCCTTTCCCTAGAAGTTAAACTTACGCCCATCTCTTTAGGCATAGGCTGGTCTCTCAGGTTCAAATTGGCATGGCAGGTTTCTTCCCTTCCCTGTGAGCCTAGCTTCTGAATGTCTTGTTTTCAGGGTGTCGCTCTCTGCAGACAGACCCACCGGTCCTTCTTAGTTTGAGGATTTGTCTATCATTCACTGTTGGAAAGTCCTGGGAGAGGGGACGCCAGAGGGAGTCTAAAAATAGCAATAGGGCTCGCCTCCTAAGCCATCTTCCTGCCTTATTAAAGGGGTTTGGAAGACCATCCTTGGACAATTGCTGCCTAATTTTTTTTTCTTTCAAGGCGCATCTTTTCTGATTACCTGTGGGTGAAATTCTTTCTTCTCTCTGGGAAGAACTTGGATGCTTTGACTGCAATCCTTAGAGTCGCTTTGTTTCAAGCAGGTTATTTCTATCCTCTAGTATCCCTTTAGTATTTAACGGCTCCTGTCCCATCCAAACTTGGATAGTTTCTCATTTGGTAGCTATACAGAAATCTCTGATCCTTTTCTCAAAAGAAAGATATGGGTCATGTGCTTCTTACAGAATAAAGCCAGTAATTTTTTTAAGCCCCTTGATAGGGAATTGGAAATGGGGGTATCTTTCGGGAAAGGGCTGATCCATTCAAAAGGCACTTACAGCTAAGGCACTGAACACAACAGCCTGCAGAGTGTGGGGTACAAAGATGATTTGAAAGGCAACAAAGCTGCTCCCCAGGGGCTCACAACCAGGATTCTCATTATGTGCCTCTCTCCCCTCTCACTCCATTCTCTCCCTCAACTTCATTGCCTTCTAATCTGAAAATGTCTTCGTCTTTGTCAGATCATTTTACACATAAAACAAAGCAGGTTAGATTGTTTTTCCCACTAGGAAGAATTCAACACACACATATACACGCATACTACACACATACATATATAAACACAAACACACATATTATATATGCATGCTCACATATACATATATATGCATGCACACATACACACACAATGGAAAAAGAAAAAATGTGGAAAGAGAGCCTTCTAGGTATATGGAAAGAGTACCACAGAGCTTTGGGCCACACCAAGGAAGCCCCCAGGGCTCAGGCGAGCCTGTGCTGATTGGAGAGAGTGGGCAAGTGTTGGGGTGCTGCTGCAAGCAGAAAGCCTAGAGCGCTGGGTGAGCGTGTCCCGATGACGCAGGACCCCGTTACCCCTGACAATTCAGACTCTTATTTATCCTCTGTGTTTTTCCATTAGAGTCTTGCTATGTTGCACAGGCTGGCTCTTGACTTCTGGGTTCAATTGATCCTCCTGCCTTAGAGTCTTGGCAAAGATGGGGTTACAGGTACACTCCTGTATCCAGCTTTGGTGATTTTTTGTAGATGCTACACACTGATCTTCTTACATTGGGTATTCCTACATTAAAAAAAAAAAAAAGAATTCTAGAACTAAGACGGTAGCTCAGTGGTAGAGTGCTTGCTTGCTCATGATTCCCTAGATTCAACCCCTAGTTCTGCCCAAACAAACAAAAGACAAAACAAACAAACAAGCAAGAATTTTTGAGATGGGTTAGTGGGTAAACATGCTTGCCACCAAGCTTAAGGGCATAAGTTTTAATTCCTGGGACCCATGTAGCAGAAAGAGAGAACAGACTCCTAAAGTTGACCTCTGACCTCCACACATGTGCTATGGTGTGTACGTACTCTCTCTGCACACACACATAAACAAACAAACAAAAGGAGCAGGCAGTGGTGGAGCACGCCTTTAATCCCAGCATTTGGGAGGCAAAGGTGGGCAAATCTCTGTGAGTTCAAGGCCAACCTGATTTATGTAAGAGCTAGTTCCAGGACAGGCTCCAAAGCTATACAGAAACCCTGTCTTGAAAAACTAAAAAATAAAATAAAATAAAATAAGCAAAGAAAGAACCACGGAAAACAGATGGCTCAGTCATGGTGGCTGAGCAGTAAAGAGCACCGGCTCTTACCCTTCAGTTCCCAGAACCCACACGGCAATTCTCAAACATCTGTAACTCCAGGTCCAGGGAACCTGCTGAACCTGCCACCCTCTTCTGGCCTCTGCGGGTCCTGTACTCACCTGGTGCACAGAGTGGGAAGACGGCCTAGTCAGTAAAAGCCTTCTTGGTACAACCTTGGATGACCCGGAAAGATGAGTTTGCAGTGAGGAACTCCGAGATCAGGTTGGCCCGTGGCTGCCTCTGTAGGGAGTGCGGTTTGCACTGACAGAGGTGTGGAGAACCTTGTGGAAGGTGGGCGGCAGCACGTCCTGAGCCGGGCCAAGGACGCGTGAGCGTAAAGAAGAAGAGCTAAGCACAACAGGAGGCGGGCAAGAAAGGATGAGTTCACTGTCCCTTTGCTCTTGACCACGGATGGGGTGTGGCCAGCTGCTTCGGGGCCTCCCTTGCTTTCCCTGGGATAATGAACCTTAACCTGGAGTTGTAAAGTGAATGAACTCTTTTTCCCCCTCCACAACCTCTTGCCTCTCTCTCTCTCTCTCTCTCTCTCTCTCTCTCTCTCTCTCTCTCTGTGTGTGTGTGTGTGTGTGTGTGTGTGTGTGTGTGTGCCACTTGCATGTAGATGCTGGAAGGGACCAGAGGAGAGTGTCACATCTCCTGGACCTGCAGTTACAGTCAGCTTTATGGATGATGGGAACTGAACCCAAGCCATCTGCAATAGCAGCTGGGGTTCGTAGTGGTGAGCTGTCTCTCCGGACCCTGGAAGGCACTCTGAATCTTCTTTTTTTTTTTGCTGTGCAGGGTTTCCCCCACTATAACTCTCCCACCTAAAGTTGCCAGGTTAAACAAACAACAACAACCACGGAAGAAAGGACAGTTAAATCTGAATTTCAAAGAGGTAATGAACAGATTTCGGCATAAATATGTCCCGACTGATGAATGAGGTCTATTTACACGTGAAAAGAAAATGTTTGTTTTGGGGATCAGTTTTATCCGAGTGGCCTGTATTTTGTCTGGACTGCCAGGCCCACCCCAGCCCTTCTCCGTTAAGTATGTTAACGGAGTGTAGTAGCTTACACTTAGAGAGGACCTTCTTTATTCTATAATCCAGGTCAGGGAAGGAAATGTGCAGGCTCTGTGGGAAGCCACTGCCTGCCGGGTGGTGCTATTTGTCCGTTGTTGACAATGACCCTTTCAGCTCAACAGAAGTCCGCTGTGACAGGCTTCACACTAAAATGTGTCACATCTGGAGGCTTTTCTTCCCCCGCTTTCTCACAGATTTGCAATTTTCATGTTGTCTCTTTGTAAACAGGTTCTCTGGGTCGAGTCTACTAACTGTCTGCCTTGAATCTAGGTTCGTCCTTCTTTTCTGAGGAAACTCTGCATGGGGAATGCCGGTAACCAACATGGACCCCCGGGGATGTAAACCCTCACGATGTCAAAAGTAGGACAAAGGACTGGAACCAAGTTTCAGCCCTCTCCTCTAGAAGGCAGAGGCAAACCGGAGGTTGAACAATAATAGAGGGGTGCATCGTGACTGTTGTCTCTCCCGCAAGATTTAGAGGGCCTAAGCGAAGCCTGGAAAAACAGATTTCAGACTGGCTTCTCTGAGCTCTGCCGACAAAGGCAACTGTTGAAGGGAGGCGAACCACAGATGTGGAATATTCCGTGTAAAACGTTAGCAGCCAAAAGGTTTTTTTATAAAACAACAACAACAACAAACTTTAAAAAGCTTGTCCACAGCTCTCATTTGATTCTGAATGTAAGTGAAAGGCACCATCACTGAGAGCCAATCAGCCATCACCAAGTGTGCTTTCTGGTGAGTGAGATGTCTCTGAGTTGGTACTCAGAGACAGCCATGTTCTAAGACACCATTCAGTCTGGTTTGTTTTGGTTTGTGTTGTGTTTTGTTTTGTTTTGTTTTTTGAGACAGTGTTCCTTTGTGTAGCTTTGGGGTCTGTCCTGGAACTCACTCTGCCACAGACCAGGCTGGCCTTGAACTCACAGAGAGATCTGCCTGCCTCTGCCTCGCAAGTGCTGGGATTAAAGGCGTGTGCCACCACCGCCTGGCAACCCCATTCCTTCTTGCTCAAAGCTTTAATATGATTTCTTCAATTGTAGCGAGCTGCTCTTCTATAACTTCTAAACAGAGGAGCGACCGTAAAAACTATGCTGCTTCCAGGAAGGGTGGCTGTTTTGGAGACAGGTGATAGACATTGCAAATTTCTGTTCTTTGTGTCCGTAAAAGAATTCTTGGGGGGAGGGGGGGAGCAGAGAAAAATGTAGAGCTCAATAAATATCAATTAAAAAAATAAAGAAAAAAGTTAAGGTTAAAAAAAAATTCTTTACAGCTAGGCCAGATGGCACACAACTGCCTTCTTAGAACTTGAGAGGCTGGAACCTGGTTTGTGCTACATGAGACACTGCCTTACACAAAACCAACAAAACGAATCATTTATACGTCCTTTACAGAGCTGGCACTTGGCGGGTATAGAGCATTTGGGCATACCGCCAGTGCAGAAATAAGCGGAATCGCGTTAGTACCATATGCGGGCTGTCTCCTTAGGGGAACACACAGAACCCCATGGTTGTCAGTTCAGTATGCTATGTCTTCGGGGTCGCCAAAATATAGAAACCTTGCAAGGGGCTGTTGGGAATCTTCAGCCCCGTGGGTAAATCGGAAAGTAGGTGTCTTTGGGGCAATCCAAAGAAGAGTTCTCAGACCTCAGTCACGGGGCCTCAGAAGCATTGCAGCACCGGGTGACAAACGCCTCTGCTCTCAGTGTCAGGGATAAGTCGCACCGCCTTCCATTTGTTCTGACTTAGTTCTACATGGTGGCAGCGGAGATGGTGGCCTGGTCCAGTTAGGACTAGCTGCTGTCATCAATAATCTCATTGCTTCGATAACTAAACTGCTAACCAACTTCAGGGTCCCTTTAATAGTTCCTTTTCAATCATGTAGTTATCCTCCTGGAGATTGGGAGTAGACAAGAGTGCCAAGCAACCTCGGGTGCATGGGTGGGGGAGAGATTGTTGGAAGGGGAGAGGGTTAGAGAGAAGGCAGTAGGGGAGGAATGGGGAAAGCTCGGGGGATTGGGATGGGGGAGGGAGGAAGGATGGATATGGGATCAGGGAAGTATATATCTCAACTAAGGGAGTCATTTTAGGGTTTACAAGAGACTTGATTATAAAGGGGATCCCAGGTCCAAGGAGAGATCCCCAGATTGTTCTTTGGACAGAGGAGAGGGTGCCTGAACCGGCCTTGGCCCATAACCATACTGATGAGTATTTTGCATATCACCATAGAACCTTCATCTGGTGATGGATGGAGATAGAGACAGAGACCCACATTGGAACACTGGACTTAACTCCCTAGGTCCAAACGAGAAGCAGAAGGAAAGAGAACGTGAGCAAAGAAGGCAAGACCAGAGGGAACCTTCACCCGTTGATGGATGGAGATTGAGACAGAGAACCACATTGGAGCACTGGACTGAGCCCCCAAGGTCTAAATGAGGAGCAGAAGGAGGGAGAACATGAACAAGAAAGGCAGGACCATGAGGAGTGCGTTCACCCACTGATACAAGGGAACTGATCTAATGAGAGTTCACCAAGGCCAATTGGACTGGGACTGAACGAGCACGTGATCCAACCAGATTCTCTGAATGTGGCTGGCACAGGGACTTTCTGAGAAGCCATTGACAATGGCACTGGGACTTGTTTCCTCTGCATATACTGGATTTTTGGGATCCAGTCTGTTTGGATGCTCACCTTCCTGGACCTGGAGGGAGGGGGGAAGAACTTGAACTTCCCACAGGGCAGGAAACCCTGACTACTCTTAGGGATGGAAAGGGAGGAGGAGAGGGAGTTGGGGGAGTGGGAGGGTGTTGGGAGGAGGGGCGGAAATGGAAACTTTTATAAATTAATAAACTTTTATATAAAAAAAGTTCCTTTACAGCAGGGAGAAGAGGAAAAAGAGGGTCTGCCTCAGAAGCCGCTCTGCCCACTTCCTTCCTGCCCCTCAAATTATATCTTCTTCCCAGGCCTAGGAAAAAAGCTCTAAAGATCCAGGTTAAAAATACTTCCTAGGTAATTTAGCAAGACCACAGGCTAAATTACTCCTCTGAGGAGGAAAGCAAATAGCCCCACCGCCTCTGGAAATTGCCAGGAAAGTTAGCCCCAGAGGCTCGCTAGCCACGGGCTAGGTCTCCAGGAGCTGTGAGCTTTGGCCTCAGCGGCCCTTTCATGTCTCAGTCCCACCCTTATATGGTTTCATTTGGGAATACCCTCTTTACCCTCCTGCCCCATTTTCTCTTTGCTGTGTTTGCCTGTTCAGAGGGTTATGTGTTGCTGGTCACACTGGGGTACGACACTACCTTAAATGACAGACTCAGAGAGGAAACCTTTAAGGTATGAGAGTCACTGGTCACCGCTTTCTACTTTGCCTACATCACGTCCTACATATAGAAGAGCAAGTTAGAAATATGCTTAAGCTTTTGGCCAAACAGTATTACAAATAATCTGGTTTCTGAGTGATTGTTCCAGGTCTGGGCAGCTGGGAGTGAACGAGTGGCCTCCCCCAAGAGATGACCTGAGTTCAGTTCCCAGCACCCACATGGAATCCCGCCACTGTCACTCACACTCCTAAGGGTGTGGCTATATGTGAGCGCAGATCCTATTAAAAGATGCCTCTCTCATCTTTTTTCAAAGGTGGCATCTCTCTAAGGTACCACTCCCGAGTGCCGATGCATGAGAGACAAAGGGGCAACATAAATTTTGTGGGGAGGGACACAGATATCCAGTCTAGAGCAGTGAAGATGGGTAGAAGACAGTTTTTAGTCCAAGAACCCTCTAAGGAAAACATGGACGCACCTGGCGAACAGCGAACGAAACTGAATCAGATGTCCTGGGTGAGAAGGAACATAGTGTGGGCCAGTGGTTGACAGGCCAGCGGTAGCTCTCGGCTCAGTGGTACAGGACCTAAGGAACATAAAGCCTGGAGTTCCATCTTCAGTGCTGAAAGAAAAATAAAAACAAAATAAAAGGAAAAAGTGGAAAAACGAAAAATTGGCATAAATATAATACACACAATTCTACATGTATTCTCAGAATATATGGTTATTACAGCATTTTAAAAAATTGTTTATTTCCATCTCTATATATAAGTGCTTGAATGAGTTCGTATGAACCATGCATGTCCAGTGCCCGGGGAGGCCAGAAGAAGGTGTCAGATCCCCTGGGACTGGAGTTGCCGGTGACTCTATGTGGGTGCTGGGAATTGAACCTGGGTCCTTTGCAAGAGCAGCCAGGGCTCTTAACTACTGTCATTTTCTCAAGTCCCAACTGCAACATTTTATTTTTTAAATAAATTTATTTCTTTGTCTTACACTCCAGACATAGTTTGCTCTCCTTCCTCTCCTCTCCAAGTCCCTTCCTCCTCACCCCTCCTCTGTTCCCACCTCCCAATCCACTTCCCTCCTCCATTTCTGTTTAGGAAAGGGAAGGTCTCCCATGAGTATCAATAAGACACGTCATATCAAGATGCAGTAAGACTAAGCACTGCCCCATGTATTAAGGCTGGGCAAGGAGACCAAGTATGAGAAATAGGGCCCCAAAAGCCAGTAGAAGAGTTGGAGGCAGACCATTCCCACTGTTAGGAGTCCCATAAGAGGACCAAGTTACAGAACTGTAACATATGTGCAGAGAGCCTAGGTCAGTGCCATGCAGGCTCCCTGGTTGACCATTCAGGCTCTGTGAGCCCGTATGAGCCCAGGTGAGTTGATTCTGTGTGTTTTCGTGTGGTGTCCTTAACCACTCTGGCTCCTACAATCCTTTCTCCCCCTCTTACTGAATATTTTAAAATAAAGATGTCCAAATAACAATCTGAAATGGGTTTACTATGAAAAGAATGATTCCATAAATGAACCATCTCTAAGAAAAAAAAACTATATATACCTTTTGTTGTTGTTGTTGTTGTTGATACGGGGTCTCCCTATGTAACGCTAGCTGGCCTGGAATTCACTATGTAGACCTATACTGACCAGACTGTCATATCTCCATGTGCGTGCACACACACACACACACACACACACACACACACACACACACACACGAGAAAAAGAGAGAGAGAGAGAGAGAGAGCTGAGCTGATTCCCATGCTTTTTCACTAAGTGAGTCTGCACCAGGTGGTGGTCCCCTGGACAGGAAGTAGGTCTCCACAGACACCAAAACACTAAACCAACCTGTGCCTGAACTGTGGGCATCCCAGCTTAGGGACTGTGAGAATTATCTACCTGTGAGTCCTCCTCTAGAAGCACAGACTTTGCACAGCCTCCCTTGCCAACCTACACATCGCTTACATCTTTCCCTTTGGTTTTTATTTTAGCAATGGAAGCTAAGTGGAATTTGTTTTATACACAATGTAGCACTCCAATTTTCCTCTGCTGAGCCAGGACACCGAACTGGGCAAAAATAAAAGATCGCTCAGGCCCTGAGAGTACCCCTCCCTGGGAGCCTCACTTGTATGTGCAGGACAGTCTGCTCTTAATTCGGTTTTCTTTTGTGTGCCTTCCTTA